TTTTTAATTATATCTTATTTTTTAATAAAATAATTTATGAATAAATCCAAAAATAACTGCACATCTTTCAAAAAAACAATATTATAAAATTATTCTTTCAAAAAAGAGGCTCAAACATATCCTTAGGCCCTGTTTGAGCTTCATTATTTTCTCGTTAAAATGAAAAATATGACCGTTATCCATCATATCAAGCTACCATATTTGACTTTTTATCTATTGTGTAAGGTTTATAACGACTATATTTTTCATTCTCATTTTTACAATAATGTGGTTCAAACTAGGGCTTAATAAAAGATATGTGAAAGTATAACGAACAAAATTTTAATTAAATTTTCTTGCATAATATCGTCCAATAACTTGCCTTCTAAAAAAAGCGAAACCTTCTTATGCAAGCAAGAAATTGCTTTCTATGCAATCATCCCCACTCTCTCTCTTCCGCAACCCCACATCTCTCTCCACCTCCAACCCCTCATTTCTCTATCTTTGACACCCCTTATCCCCACACCAGTCTGTACTAAAAATCCCACGTCAGTTAAATATAAAAATAAATAACAATCAATCAAGTCACTCTTCTTAACAAAATTACTTTTTAAAAATAATACATTATTCAATATTATCCGTCTTCAGCTCAAACGACTCTCTCCTTAAGATCCCACAAATATCTGTTGTGCTTATTTCTTTTAGTGTACTTAAAGCAATCTACCTCCAATGATTAATGATGCCAACTTTGGACTGGTTGATTAGAGTACAAGTCATAGTCATAATCATAGTGATGCGCTAGCCCCCTCACATGTTGGGGCTAAAGCTCAATAAAAAAATTGCGGGCTCCCCCACATGTGAGGGGTTGTCATCCGAGCTGTGAACTCGGATGTATAAGTATCAATTCCCTTTTTTTAAATACCTTTTGTTAAAGGATCGGTCCAAAAGTCTCGTGATATTCTCCTAGGTACCTACCAAAACCTTAGGATTTATTGACAGTTGCATGAAAACTTAGGACATATTTGATGTAGATTTTTTGAAAATATATTTTGTGAATTTTTTTTCTTTTTCTTTTGAGAGAATGTGTAGTTAAAAAGTATAAAAAATTATGGATCCAAGTAGAAGATTATTCTATGAAAAAAATGTATAGTTAAAAATGAGTTTGAGAAAAATGATTTTTAAAAAAATTCTAACAAACCCAACTTTAATTGGATGGTTAGTCAAAATTAAACCATAAGTGATATTAGGATGTTAAATATTGGTCACTGTCAATATAGGTTTGGCACAACCTATAATTTCGAGGTTAAAGATATACGTAATGACCTTCTACTATACGTGAAGCAGAACCCTAATTTCGATGGAAAATTGTTCAAAATTCAAAAGGAATATAAAAATAGATTCTTAATCAACAAAAACTCTCCTTATCTTAAATTATGAACACGACTAACTAGTACTTTGTACAAGATTTCGATTTTTCACTTTTCATGAATATTTAGTATCATATACTACACATACACTTTAATTATCTGAATTTCATCGAGATTTTTGATTCGTATTAATAATTTAAGATACTATTTATTAATTGTTTAATTAATTGTAATTGCACGGACTATACGGCAGATAATCGGTCTGGGGTCATTGGTGGTAATGCCATTGGTGGGAAATCTTTCAGATAAATATGGAAGAAAAGTGATGCTCACCGTCCCAATGACTTTTGGGATACTTCCTTTAGGTATTATTTCTTCCTTACTTCTCAGTTTCTTATAATCTTAGCAAAATAAGTTTCTAGAATAAGTTTGATAATAAATAAATAAATAAGTCGTTTGGCTAAATAAGTTGTTGTTGTTGTTGTTGTTGTTATTATTATTATTATTATTATTATTATTATTATTGCTTTCTGAAAAATGAAAGAAAGGAAAGGAATCTTCCATTTAGGAGAAAAAGAAAAAGAAAACATAATTCATTTGTATTCAAAAATCAAATATATTTGTCGCTTGGGAGGAATAGTTGCTCGACTTTGTATTTTTCTATTTACAAACTTGAAAATGTTTTATGTTGCTTCCAAAAAAATAAATAAAGTGGTAGCTAAATGATATCGTGGTACAAATTTTAATAATATGGACGCTATGTACCTTTTAAACCATGATGTTTGGTCACGTAAGTCTAAACTTCAGTTATGTCAAAAATTACGTATCACTATTATATTTACTTGTTTGATGAATTCAATAAGACATAAGTGTTCGCTAAATTTTTTGATAAAATTTTTAGGAGATTTTGATAAATATTGATGAAATGCATGATAGAAAAATTTATAAAAGTAGATGATTCCAAAATGTAATAAAACTGAAGTTTTTTTTTTTTAATCAAAAAATAGGTTCTTTACCGTTCTTACAAACTCTTATTCATATATCGTGTTTTAGAAAACGTAAAGCGTGACTTGATAATAGGATTAAATTTCAAGTTTACGAGTGTACGTGTGAGAAAAAGTTTTCTTATTTTTAATATTATCTCGTTATTTTATAATTATAAAGTAAATAAAATAATGCCTAACAAACATCTAAAATGATAAATACTATTATTTTTTCATTTGAATAATTATGTGAGTTTAACTCTCAAAACTTAGATTCAAATTTCCCAACTAAAAGATTAACGAATACAAATTAAAAAAATCTTAAACCTAAATCCGCTTTAGATGGGTAGCAAAAGCGTTAACCGTCTTTTTGCGTTCGTGTCTAGAACCACGTGTTTGTTTTTAGAAGTGGCAATGGCCTACTACGAAAAGTAAGAGCTCAAACTCTTGCTTATTCAATTTTTTTTTTTTTGGGATATGCTTCACATTTCATTCGTTTTCTTTAACATCTATCAGCCAAGGCCTTTTCTTTCTTCGGTGTGTTGCAAGAGGTTTTTAATGGAAATAGGTAACACAATTTAATTGGGAGGAATTCGTGATCAATCATCCAGAGGGCAGTGGATGTAAATGGCGATTAGTATGAGATGACAACGAACGGAAAAGGATACATCACAATTTGAGTGTCCTATTTTATAATAGAATTTATTGGAATTATAAAAAAAATAAGAAAATACAAAAATATTAACATAAAATTCGACATAAGAAGCACTTGAACTAACCAATAAAGTCCACAAGCCTAGGACTCGAAGCTCAGCTCGACTTGCCAAGCCGAAATCAAGCTCATTCCGACTTGACTCTCAGCT